AGCTTTGCGCCTTTCCTGGAACTCACTTGGTTGGTAGCCCAGGCTGGCCTCGAACTCACAGAGATCTGCCTGCCTCTGCCTCCCGAGTGCTGGGATTAAAGGTTAATTCTAATTTTTAAGTATGTATATATGTATATGCATGCTTATTGTGGGCTTGTGCACATGTGTCTAGTGCTGCAGAGGCCAGAAGTGGGTGTCATGTGCCATGGATCTGGGGTTACAGGCCATTGTTACCTGGTGGGAACTGGATCCTCTGCGAGAGCAGTAAATGCTCTCCACTGCCCAGCCAGCTCTCCAGCCCTGAACTGCAAGGTCTTCATCTCTTAGGTTGTTTGATTTGAGACAGGGTTTCATGTAGCCCAGGCTGGCTTCAAACTCACTCTGTAGCTAAGGCTGACCTTCAGCACTGGTCTTCCTGCTTCCACCTTCCAATGGGGTTATGAACAAAGCCACCGTGCCCATCTCCTCCAATACTTTAATCCTATGTCAAGGTGTTACAAGTTGAATAATAGACAAGACCCAAAGGAGCCACTAGGCACCCAGAGTAGCTGACAATTCAGCTCCTCTCCAAACCTCCCTACATATTTGCTCAGTTATTTACAAGTGGGGAGAATTGGATTTCCATTCAATAATTCATTTTTGATGACAGACATGGATTCCCTCTTCTGGAGATCCCCCTTTTCTTCCAAACTCATAGCCGTCTTTCTGCCTCAGCCTCTCAGATGCCGAGGTTTCAGGCCTGAGAAAGCACACTGGCTCATGTATGTCACACCTCCCTAGCTCCCATACATGCTGTGCTGCAGCACTGAGACTCAGGGGTTCAGGGGTTGTCCTTTTTTTAATGGTTGCTGCCTTTTAAGCCACAGCTGTCTGACTCAGCAACAGCAACTCTGCTGCTACCAACAGCAGTTAGTTAGGCCACAAGGGCCGCACAGCTGGAGGGAAATCGGTTCCCTCGGCTCCAACTCCTGCAAAGCTATAAGGGAAACTTAACTAAACCTCTCTCCCTCTAAAGAACTCAAGATTCAAAGGTTAAGGTGGAATTCTGCTCTTCAGAGAGGCTGAATAGCAAGTCGCTCACCTCCTCTCCTTGCTCGAGTCCTCCCAGAAGCCCCCATGCTTCTCCTCGCCCCTCCTTATAAACCCTTTCTCACCTGGCCTCCTTACCATTTCCTGTCTGCTAGTTGCTGATGCAGCCTTCTGACAGCAGGTGAATTTTTTTTAATCAAACACATCTTTGTATCATTAAACAAACATTCCAGAGCATAAACAAAAGCAACACATCTTGAAGTAATATTCTACAACATCAGGTAACTGAGTGTATGAGCATTTCCAGTGGGGCACACCTGGGTCTGCAGCCCTGACTTTTATGACTTGACTTCATAGGATAAGATCAGTTTGCCCATTAGTATTACCAGCTCCTGCAGCACGTATACGCATATGGCCTTCAGTAAAAGGGGCCCCAGACCACTAGCTGCCTTCTCCCTAATCTGCATGGGCCAGATTCAAGGGATTTACTGCAGAATCACCTTTGCCGACACTATTGAAGGATGGAAAAGGAACAAGGTAGAAAATGCCTTCCCCGTCTGAAGTCTTACAACAAGCTTTCCACGACTAGACAAGTCACTTCAGATGCGCCTCCGTGGCGGTCACGGACATGTCGTGCACACTCTTAGCTTAGCGGGGCTAGTGTGGACCGTGGCATATGTTGACCATTCTCACCCTTTACCTGTTGCTTCCTAGACAACCCTGCCCTGTTCTGGTTCTCCAGGCACATCTCCCTCTGGGGCAGCATCTCCTTCAACCTGGCCGTGTTCATCAACCTGGCTGTGGCTCTCTTCTACCCGTTTGGGGATGATGGGGATGAAGGCAAGTGGTTCTGTTTCTGCACATGATGACACCCGAGAAAGCCCAGATTCCAGTCACCAACTCTCTGCAGCTTTAAAACCAAGACGCTTAGTTCTCATTAAATAGTTTCTGTATTTATTGCACGTATAGACACATTAAGTAGAGTAGACAGAAAACCGTGGCCAGTAGAAGGGCTCTTTTACAGAAAGCTCATACATAGCCCAACTATTAGAGGTAAGTACTGGAAAATGAAATGGCATGCTTGTCTTTCAACCTAATTGGTGTGACAGAACGTGTTTTATATTGTCTTATCTCAATGATGCAAGTGCGTCTTAGGCCTAAGCATTTTGATGAAATAGCAACAATTACATTTTACTTTCCATCTTGTCTGAGGGTTTTGGAATGAACACATCTGTAAAATATACATTTTGATTTTATAATACTGTGCATTTATAATATTCATAATCTTAGTCTTAGAAATGCACAGCATAAGACAGACTGTAATTGTGGATAATGAAGGATATTGACTATGAAACTGGTGTTGCTAAATTGGAAGCAGATCTAACTCACATGAAGGTGGAAAGCACAGAACCCCGGACTTCATGGAGCCTGGCGCCTGGGACAGATGCAAACACCACTCTTGAAAAGGACTCCTGAGTCAATGGTAGTAGCAAGATGGATGTTCAGTGTTAGGCTATTAGAGTGTGGGTGTGCTTCCTAGAGGGAAGGCAGAGCATGAGAATGTGGGCAGTATAGAACCCCGGGATGAGCCTGAGTTACATGATTACAGTTTGGGTGAGTTATCTCCTGATAACTTATGAATAAGGTTAAAGTCTTGATGGAGGTTCGTGCAATCTCTGCCTCAGCCACACACTGCATAGCTGGGAAGACTGAGGCTATGGCTCCACTTGGTAGATGCTCGTGGCTGTGAGGTTGTCCAGGGAAGGAAACTGCTGAGTGCTGGTGATCATTCTCCATGCCGAAGTTTTTCAGTCAGGCTGAGCAACTGCTCTCCAGGCTTACTCTGAAATGGACTAAAGATGGGTTGCATGAAAATGAAAATTCTTCTAGGAAGTGCCTTGAAATAATGGGAACATACAAAATGATAGGGTCCAATTAGAAAGGTCTCCCAGCAGACAGATCTGAGAAATTTTGAGAAAATTGTCAGCAGCAATACATTATAAGACACAGAACAAAACTAAGCCAGGGTCTGCAGGAGGAGTAAGAAGAGGGTGCTCTGTATGCTGGTATCCAGTTAAGCGCATTTAGAGGGATGGGAATTGCTTGTCACCATTTGGCCAGTTGTAGTCCTCAATGGATACTCAAAGGAAGGGGCAACTATGAAGAAAAACACAAACATATCACATTTTCAGCATCTACCCATCATATACTTAGCTAGTTACAGAGGGGAAGGAGCAGCTGTACCACGGAGAAGCCGCTAAGTAATCATGAGTGAGACACAGCCGCATCATGTGCCTCCTGACACAATGGCCTGAGAAGAACATGTGGCAATGGACAGACGGGGATGAATGGAAGAAAATTTAGAACACCCCAAAGGAGAGACATTCTACAGAGTGACTGGCCAGTGCTCCACACGGCTACCAAGCTTAGCAAAGACAAAGATTAGGAACTGTTCAAATGAAGAGACAAAGGGGTGGAGAAGATGACAGTATTATTCCTGGTGTTAACTACCATGGTGGTCATCATGCAAAGTATTGATATTCAGATCTAGATGAAGTGTCTGCAGGATGGTTTATCCATTATTTTTACAACTATTGCTTGAGTCTTAAGGAGCTTTGAAGTAAAATTTAAAAAATAAAAAAGGGTTCTACCTATTCCTTTGGTGGCATCATTTTGGACAGGGAAGGTAATCGTGAAATCACCTGGAAATTTCTGGCCAGAGATGGACCTCTGTTAACATGGGCCACACTTTCCCACCCTAGACCCCACTACAAGCCACTTTAGAGTCACAGAGCCATCTGGCAAGGGGCCAGCAGAGGCACGGGCTGTTCTTCCTCCAGGTACAGTGAGTGGTGAGGTGTCCCCCGGGCTCTTTGGAGTGTCTTGTGCTCAACTGTCTTGCTCACGTGCGGGTTACAACATTAGTTTAGAGAACAACATCCTTCACTTGGGATGATGGTACAAAGGGATTCAAGGGAGATGTTGCCTCTCTGACGAGCACCCGAGAGACCCCATCCACCTTGACTTCAGATGGAGACTCCCCTTTAACTGCCAGGCCTTTGTGGAGTCTGTTGATGCTAGGGCCACCTCCAGCCATGCCAACCGACCTGACTCAGAAGACTAGTCAGTGAAAAACTTTTTTATCCCAAGATAGAATGTCATTTTAAAATATAGAGGGAGGTTTTTTCTTTCACAATTTGAGTATAATTCTTCCTCACAGTCATTTTTGCTAAGGAAAGTAGGATTCTTCAAGGTGACTTCAATTCATTCAGTTTCACAAGCATTGATGGATACCACTGTGTGCTAGGCACCATGCTAGTCTGGGAGATGCTAAGATTAGTAAGCTGTTTCGTCCTCAAGGATCTCATGATCTAGTTAAAGGACCAAGAAATAAGAAAAGCACAAGACCAAGGAGCAACAAGGGATTTATGGACGGATGTCGACTTTGTCTGGACCTGGGTGTAGGAAACCAGAGTCAAATGAGTCTGCACCAGAAGCCCAGGCCCAGGGAAGGATGAGGAGTGAGAAGCAACTGTGTTGGACAAGAAGCCATGAACAAGTCAACCTGAGGCAGGGCTCCAAGACAAGAGTAGAATTGGAATCCAATTTGACTGTCTAAATTTTCTTTTACAAAAGACCTAAGATCTAAGATCTTGGAAAATATAGAGGAATTCCTAAAAAATACCTTCCCATTAAATATAATACATGCTTATTATAAAAAAATTAATAGAAATAGGCAAAATATTAAGAGAAAGAGTTCCCACTTGATGGGTAAGGATTGGCTATAGTGCTTTGTGTTGCTTTGGTTTTGGCTATTTGTTTGTTTGAGAGACAGGGTCTCACTGAGTAGCCCGGGTTGACCTAGAATTCACTATGTAGTGCAGGCCAGCCTTGAACTCACAGCAGTCTTCCTGCTTCAGCTTCCTAAGTGTTTGGATACAGGCATGAGTCACCCCCCTGCTGAGAGCACCTGTCTCTGGAGCACCTCGGGAGTGCCAGAGAGTTTTTATTGTTTTTCCAAAGCATGAATCATCAGGTCAGGGCTAACCTGATGGTTCTCACAGATGGTTCCAGACTTCGTCATCAGTTAACCACATTAAATAACAAACTGTTCATCTTCTTTTCTCATTCCACACAGATGAACCTAACAGTAAGCTGTGTGCAAGGTCTCATGCTAGACAGTTCACAAGTTACTTGTAAAATTGACAAAACACCCAGAATTAGGTGCATGGCTGCACTTTCTGGTCTATCAAAGGGAGAGCCCGGCAAACTACACATCTGAGGCAGAGTAAAGGTGGCTACATCACCTGGCACTGGGGGCAATATGTAGAATGAGTATTTGTGCCAAATCTCAGCCTTCCAGAATATCATACCAGACTTTATTTATGAATCGGCTTGATGAGTCACATGATGGGCAGAACGTTATGAAATGTTTCTTGAAGATGTTGTTAATTTTAATGCATACTGAAAAGCAAAGCTAGGGATGCCGGAGAGACGACTTAGCGATTAAGAGAATGCTTTGCTCTGTTATCTGAGCAGAGTTGGGTCTTAGCACCACGTAGAGTGGTACACAAACGCCTATAACCCACCCCAAGGAATCCAACATCTCCTTCTGGCCTCAGTTGGCATCTACACACACACACACACACACCACACACACACTTACTTGTGCACATATATGAAGAACATTTAAAAAATAATTTTTTTAAAGAACAAAGCTGGGGGCTGAGCAAATGGCCTGGTCAGCAGAGTGACTGCCACACAGGGATGAGGACCTGACTTTGGATGTCCAGAGCCCACGCAGGAAGCCAGGTGCAGCTGCACCACCTGGGGATTAATAAATATTCAGTTACTTGCTCAGTATGAACTCCCTGAGCATATTTTGTCTACTTGATAAACAAGTATCGATTTATTGCTGCAAGACACACTAGGGCTGCTCCGCACCCTTGCAGCGTTTGTGTTTTAGTGGAGACCTGAGAGTCTACACACACAGTGGAATGTCAAAGCCTCCCTCCTGTACTGCTCTGGGAGAGCTGTCAAGTCAAGGCAGATGGTGACTGGGCTTGCTGTTGCTAGGCAGAGCACATATTATCCAATATCAAAATAAATGCAAGGAGGCTATTCATTTTGATGAAGAGGAAGATGAGCTCTCTCTTCCCAGTCTTTAAAAATCATTTACATTTTATTTATTTCATGTGTGTGGGTGTTTTGCCTGCATGTGTGTCCATGCACCATGTACATAGCTGGTGCCTGTGGAGGCCAAAGGAGGGTGTTGGATACCCTAGGACTAGAGTTACAGACAGTTGTGAGCCACTATGCCATTATTGGGAATTGATCTCCTAGGACTAGAGTTACAGACAGTTGTGAGCCACTATGGCATTGCTGGGAATTGAATCTGGGTCCTCTGGAAGAGCAGCAGGTGCTCTTAACTATTCAGCCAGCTCTCCAGCTCCATAACCTTCTTTTAATCACTGTTTATTTGGAAGCTGTTATAGCATCAAAAATATTGCTATAATAAAATACCTGATTCTGGGTATTTCATAAGGCAAATGTTTATTTAGTTCCCTGTTTTGGAAACTGAAAGTCCATGATCAGGTATTATGGTCTATCCAATTCAGGTAGGGACTTTCTTGTCGGGACCGCCAGCCCCCCAATAATGACACTGAGACTTATTAATAATTATGAAAGCTTGGCCTTTATCTTGGGCTTATTCCCAACTAGCTCTTATAACTCAAACTAACCTGCTTCTATTAATCTATATCCTGCCGCTTGGCTTTTACCTCTCTCCCATTCTGTATTTCTGACTTGCTCTGCATCTCACTGGCATCTCTACCTCTCTTCTTCCCAGAGTTCTTCTCTCTCCCTGGAAATCTCACCTATTCTCCCCTGCCTAGCTATTTACCATTCAGCTCTTTATTAAACCAATCAGAAGGTGCCTTAGGCAAAGACACATCCTTACAGTGTACAAAAATATTATCCCATAACAATTGACTATCCTGAAATCAATGCACAAGTCTGCTGAAAATGTACTGAAGAGTAATGCATTCTGAAATGTTTCCTTGTGGTAGAGCATTGACTAGGTTGTTTTTAGATTCAGTGCACCATGGCTTTGTTCACATGTAAGAGTTTAGTGTTTCCTATCTGTTTTTGGCGATGAGTAACCCCTCCATCTTTTCCAGGCATACTCTCCCCACTGTTCTCCGTCCTTCTTTGGATAGCAGTGGCCATCTGCACATCTGTGCTGTTTTTCTTCTCCAAGCCTGTGGGTATCCGGCCATTCCTTGTGTCTGTCATGCTCAGATCAATATACACCATTGGTTTGGGGCCAACACTCATACTTCTTGGTGCTGCTAACGTAAGTACATTGCTTAACTTTGTATCTAATGGAATTCAGATGTACTAAGTATAAATATAGTTAACTATATAGTCTTTTATTCATGTTTATACAGTGAATTCTGGTTTGATATGAATCTATGTTAACTAGAGTATCATTTGTGCATGATTTAATTTAGAGATAAAAACAAAAATATGAGGAACACATTGATTTAAGTAGCACTTGTAGTGTGACCCAGTTCTGATGTCCATTTCATCAGGTTTAATGTTCTCTCTGTACCAGACCTCCCATTACTGAAAAAAAAAATGACCCAGCCATTGTTAACACCTGAAAGTGGGTTCTAAATCATCCCAAAAGATTAAATTATGTTCAGTAGAATTTAAGAAGTACTTTCTATCAAATGACTTAGGAGTGGGGGAGAAAAGACTGCTAAACAAAAAATAAGGTCTAAAATTGGGCTCCTTTTATATGAGAAAATCCTATAAACTTATAAAAGGCATGGGTGAGATTTTTTTCACCAAACTTTAGTATATTAGAGCAAGAGAATGCCTTGTGACGTGTTAGTTTTAAATGTAGAATGAACAAGCTGGAAGTATAATAATGCCAAGAAGCCAATGAAAGATTTGTAGAAGTAATTTAAACAAAAATAAAAATAAAATTTTGAATGGACTCTGTGACACTTTTAGGCATGATACATCTGTAATGGATATGAAGAAAAGATAAGTCATCAAATTGATGAAAAATGGTCAGAAATCTCATAAATGTTATTGTATCTACACAGTCAATATCTAAAGCACTGCCTGTAACTTCCAATGGGTTTCTAACTCAGTGTTTTAAATTCTGGTGTCTTAGCTGTAATTATATCCCATACTACCTTATATAGTTATTGAGGATAGTGATTGGTAGTTACATACCTGGGACATTACAGGGAGTCTATAAATATTTTTAATAAATGACTAATGAGTGAATGAATGGATGAGTGGCCAATATTTATTGGAAATAAATAAATTAGTTAACCAACTTTAAGGACTACCAAGATGAGACAATATAATCAATTCTGTGTTTTCAGTGTTTCTGACCTTGATTTTATCATAATCTTCAAATGTTGGACAGTATTCCAAAGCTCCCAGTTGATCGAATATTAAAAAAACCAAATTCTCAGTTACCACCAGTGAAGGAAAGTATACAGAAGGAACATTTGTGAGCAGAGGGTTGTGAAAGTTACCAAATAACTTCTCTGGGTTTCTTAGGGGCTGAGCTGTCACATTACTTCATGAATCCAGTCCCTGCTCATCCCCATATCCATGTTTCTGTGTGATGTGGTCCTTGTTCTTCCCCATCCCAACGGTGCTCTGCAGTTCATTCCTTCTAGCTCACTCCCATCTCCATTTCCCTCCATCCCATCCTTGGGATGACCTAAGATTGTACTCTTTGCTTTTAAAATAAGCTAATGTTATTATATAATCAGCCAAGATTATTAGAAAATCGTCATGAATGTGTAAAAATTTGTCTACACCTCTGTGTTTGGCTCATTTCGTTTCTCAAGAAAACATATTCAGCATGAAATCATATTATTTGAAGAAGTAGATGTTATTCATAAACTGATCATTGACTAAATAAGAAAAATCTAAGTTTAAGAAAGTGAAGAGCCAGCCGGGCGGTGGTGGCGCACGCCTTTAATCCCAGCACTCAGGAGGCAGAGCCAGGTGGATCTCTTTGAGTTCGAGGCCAGCCTGGGCTACCAAGTGAGTTCCAGGAAAGGCGCAAAGCTACACAGAGAAACCCTGTCTCGAAAAACCAAAAAAA